TTGCAACATGTAGGCTTTTAGTTCTACTACTAAGACATGTTTAGACAATTTAGATCATCTGGAAAATCTGTTTTTTTATTTTTCATTTCATTTTATTTTAATTTATTGGTTTTTTTTTACATTTTATGGTATTTTGAAATAGGTTTATTTTTGCCTACTATGAACTGAGCTAGTTAAAACTTAATACCATTTTTTAGCAGGAATATAATATTTAAATACAATACAGTATACTGAAATAGAGCACTCTCATTGTGAGTTCTTCTTTTATTTATTTAACAACTCTTTTCCCCTTTATTTCATCTTTGTGAAATTATCCTGTTATATGCGTTTTTTACAAAGGTGATGCGAAGCTTTTCAGCAAAGGTAGTGGTAGTGTTTTCAGCTGAAGGAGAAATGACACCATTTTTGAAAGACTACATGAYACAGAACATCACAGGAATTCAGTGGGTGGCAAGTGAGGCCTGGATCACAGCGTCTGTATTTACGGGAAGCAAATATTATCCGTACCTTGGGGGCACTGTTGGGTTTGGCATCAGAAAAGGTCACATTGCCAGACTTGGTGAATACCTGCTGACAGTCACTCCTCAGAAATATCCTGATAATATCCTTGTGCAGGAGCTATGGGAGGCTCTGTATGGTTGTAAACCTTTTCCATCCTCTGACTCCCAGTTGCCACTSTGCTCAGGSAASGAGGAGGTGTTGGACCAGCACARAGCCTACACAAATACATCTAGTCCTAGAGTGGCCTATAATGTCTATAAAGCTGTATATGCTGTTGCTCATTCACTACACAACCTCCTTCTTTGTCAACCAAGCAGTGGACCTTTTGAAAACAAGTCATGTGCTCAAAGTGACAATATATTTCCCTGGCAGGTATAATAAAACATTTGTCTTTTTTAAAGTCACATTTCAAACGCTGACAGTATATTAAATTTTTTTACTACATTTATTGGTACAATGCAACAAATATTCAAGCTCCAGCACTACCTCCAAGAAGTGAAATTTATCATTGCTGGGGACGAAGTCAACTTTGACCTGAAGGGAGACTCCATCCCATATTATGACATCATCAACTGGCAGAAAAGTTCCAGYGGGAACATTGAATTTGTCAACGTGGGKTTGTTCGATGGAACTAAGCCTGCTGGAAAGGAGCTGGTGATCCAGGAGGACAAAATAATGTGGGCAGGGCATCAGAGTGAGGCAAGCTGCTCACACTATGTTTTTACCTTCATCAGATGCCAACTGTTGAAGTTCTGTAGGTTAAGATGGAGGTAAGTCAGGTGGGATGAGGAAGAATGGAATTGACGTGAGGCCCTTTGGACTGATAAAATAAATGAACACAAAAGAACAGTATTTTTTGTTACTATTATTTCTGTCATTTTGCTCAAGTCAGACCTCTTCTAAAATCATACATTTCTTTAGGTGCCAGTCTCTGTATGCAGTCCCAGCTGTCCTCCAGGGTCCAGGAAAGCTGTCCGTCATGGGGAGCCTGTCTGCTGCTTTGACTGTGTACTATGTGACAGCGGCAAAATTAGCAATCAGACAAGTGAGACTAAAAATCAGCACACATCCAGTTTATTACACAAATTTTGTGCTTAATGTACTTCCTCTTTTCTCCCTTTCTATAGATTCAATAGATTGTAAGTTTTGCCCTGATGATTTCTGGTCAAGCCAAGACAGAACTGCCTGCATCCCAAAGAGGGTGGAGTTCTTGACCTATGACTCCTTGGGTATTGCCCTGACAGTGATCTCTGTAGTGGGTGCTTGTCTGACCATAGGTGTTTTAGTTGTGTTCTTCTACCACAAAAACACACCAATTGTCCGTGTGAATAACTCAGAACTCAGCTTCTTTATTCTGTTGTCCTTGACATTGTGTTTCCTATGTTCTCTTGTTTTCATTGGAGAGCCAAC